TCTCTCTCTCTCTCTCTCTCTCTCTCTCTCTCTCTCTCTCCCTATTTGTTCTGTGTGTGTGTGTGTGTGTGTTTGTGTGTGTGTGCGACACTGTGTGTGTCTCTTAAACCCCCAGTCACACGCAGTCACACACACACTCATACCAACCAGCACACAAACAGGCACAGTCACACGCAGTCACACACACACTCATACCAACCAGCACACAAACAGGCACAGTCACACGCACGCAAGCCAACCAGCACTCAGACAGACATGCAGTCCAGCAAGCACACACACACAGACTTAGCAGGCGGGAACTCAGTAGGCATTCAGTCTTTGACCGGTGTGTTTTGAACCAACGACCTGTGTTTTAGTAATGACTGTGCTTTGTCATAGGTCCCTGTAGTTGTAGGGATTCGATCTGTGGACCTGTCAAGTAGGGGCTACAACTGTGTAGAGGTCGAAACTGCTAGGCTAGAGGTCTGTAGGTAAGTTGTAGGTAAGTTGAAGGTGCAGACATTGGGATTCAGCTTGTTTGTTTTTACTTGTTGAAGGTCGTTGATTTCTTTTTCTTGTTGTTTTGTTGTGTATTTCTGCGTTGTGTGTCAATTTTTGTTTTTGCTTCGGTGTCCAGGTTCTTTCTGCAGTTTCTGATTCTACATTTTCAGCGGTTCCTTTGCATTCTAATGTCGCTCTCTCTCCGATTCTGTTTCCTGCACCTGTTTCCTCTCCGGTTTACGACGCGGTCTTTTTGTAGTGCCGACGTTTCGGCATGCCACACCAGAATGGTAAGGATCCGGCGGACTCGTCCAATGCCGCCAGACAAGGTCACAACACGAAGAGTTTCGACTCGCCGTTCAAGGTTGATCCGACAACCGACGGCAAGAGAGACGACCCCGTCTGGCATTTCATCGCACGAGGTCGTTATTTGGATGGGTCCACTGCGGCGGGTAGAAAGAGTGGTCGTCGCTGCATGTGCAGGTTGTGCGGCCGTTCGATGTGCAGGGGCGCTAAGGCCGCCAAGGAACACTTCTCAAAGAGCGAGAAGTTCCGATGTGAGGTGGCCACTCCTGCAGTGTGGTATGCCATCTGGTCAAAGGACATGACAAAATGTCCGAAGGAGTTCGTATCGGCTATCGAGGCATTGCAGAGCTTATCTCACGATCATCCGAACTTCCAGTGGCCACCGCTACGATACCTCGGGGACTCAGTGCCGCCCCTCGATTCCGCCACCGCCCCCTCGGAGACGGTGCCTTCGTCCAGTCCATCCGTTCGAGTTACAGTGCCGCGTCGAACGCCACCACGTCCACCAGCTCCAGCGTCTGCACCGCAGACAGGGACACAGGGTGCAGGTGGTTTACACGTCGGTCGGTCCGTGTCGGCCAATGAGGCCCCTCCTGTTCGAGGGGGTGGGGGCTGTGCGGAGTTCGACGAACACGGCACACGTGCTTTTGTTGAGAGTCGCACGGGGGGGGGGGGGGGTTGGCACTTCGGCTGGACGGGCTACCACTATTGCGGCCCCGTGCACACTTGCCCCTGTTTTTAACAGTGGCAGACAACCACATGCTGCACGGGCTACCAGTATTGCGGCCCCGGCCACAGCTGATCGCAGTCCATCGGACCACCCTTGGTTGCCGCCTCCACCGTCACGAGTGGCATAGGGTGTGGCCACGACGGACAGACCGGAGCCTTTGCGCGTGGTTGCAGATGCTCGACAACCTGCTTCCCTAGTTGGGGAACAGGCAATGCCTGGGCTGGGTGCTTCTGAGGTCCCCATTCCGGTGTCTGATTCGTCGCCAACCCCGCTTCCACCGACGACAGGTGTTGCTGCAACTGCTCCACCTGTTCTTACCGGTTCATTGGATCCTTTGTACCGCATGCGCGACATTGCAGCGGCCCAGAGCGCAGCACCTGAGAGTCCTAGTGGGTTGTTGGATGTCGGGATCCTTGGCGGGCAAGCCACGACGGGACGTGGCCGGGGCACCTTTCGCCAACAGGCCGTCACGTCGTATTATTCGGACCCTTTGGAGCACGCGTGGCATTTGCAGATCATGCGCTTCATCGTCGAGAGTGGGATGGCGTTCAACTACGTTAAGCTTGAAAGCTTCAAACGCATGTTCGCGATGATCATCCCGTCGGGGGTTCCAGGGGCGCCCACACCCAAAGTACCCACGTACCACATGGTGCGCACATCCCTTTTGGATGAGCTGGATGCAGAGGTCCAAAAGTGTGTTCGGCCACTTCTTGACACGGCGAGAGAGTTTGGTTGCACAATCATAACCGACGGTTGGACCAACATTAGGGGTCAGACATTGTGCAACTACCTTGTCGGGATAAATTTGGGGGCAGCTTATGTGGCCACCGACGTCATGCACGGGAAGAAGGGCGCCACTGCCCTTGCGACCGCGTGGCTGAAGAGGGTGAAGTCCATGGGCATGGACTTGATCGACATCACAACATTCGTGACGGACTCCGCCGGGGTGAACGTCGCAGCGATGGAGGTTTTCCAGAAGGACGAGAGCGTCAAACACATCTTCTGGATTCCATGCGTCGCTCATGTGATGGATCTAATTCTCGAGGACATCGGCGGGATTGATTGGGTGGCCCCCCGCATCGCGCAGGCGAGGTTGGTGACGAGGTTCTTCAAGCGCCATGGCCACGCACGGGAGGTTTTGGAGGTCTTCTCGACGAAGACCCTTCTACTGCCGGAGGAGACTCGATTCGCCACTAACGTCATCATGATGACGAGGCTTGTGGACCTGCGGGGAGAGCTCACGCAGCTTGTTGGCAACCACCGGTGGCGTGAGACTGTTTGGTCGACCAGCAAGATCCGCAAGGACGCCGCAGAGGTCACTGCGTGTATCGGGTCTCCTCCATGGTGGGAGGATTTGAGAGCTTTGTGCAAGATGTTGGAGCCTATCATGGATATGTTGAGGCTAGTCGATAGTGACACACGCCAGATAAGCAAGATTTTGCGTCGTTACGAGATTATGATCGCATCTTGCTTGTCTGCGTGTCGCGACCTCGATCGGGAGCAGCAGGACGCTATTTTGGAGGTGTTCGACAGGCGGCGCACCATGTTCCGGACACCCGCCCACACAGCAGCCATGTTGCTGGATCTCGACCAGGAGGTGCAGCAGGGATTGATCGAAGCCCTGGTCCAGTTCGGCTATCCAGAGGGATCAGTGCAGCACGAGGAGGTCCTTAAGGCGGTATTCAAGTTCCACACAAAGGAGCCTCCTTTCGATGATGTCAACATGCGGCGATCGTTGGCATGCTACAGCCACCCTGCCAGTTTTTGGTCTGCGAAGAGTGCGAAGTACCCTCACACGACGTTCTTTGCCGGTAGGATCCTTCGCATCTGGGCGACTGCATCACCATGCGAGAGAGCATGGTCTAGATGGAGCTTCATTCATTCGAAGTCACGCAACAGGTTGGAGGTTGCTCGGGCCGAGAAGCTCGTGCGGTGCCACTGGAACCTCAGGCTCATTGATAGACCGTCTTTGTGTGACGATGCTCCTGCTGACAGACCCGATTTTTTTGGGAACTGGGTGCATTACTAGCAAGCTGTGGAGGAGGAGGTGGCAGTGGACCAGCAACTCGTCAGAGGTAGTGGTGCACTGGCGAGGGTGACCGAGGAGGAGCTGGCTCACGCCAGAGAGAGGATGCGCATCGTTTCCCGCATGGGAGCCATGCGTTGGGTGGCGGAGTCCGACGGGAAGCGACGCAGGGGCGGAGCAGGTGGACGTGGCGGGCGCGGGTGAGCAGGTGTCGGAGGAACGAGGCGTGGTGGCAGGACTGCCGCATTCGGGACTCGTCGACAGCGGGCAGACGGTTTCATCCGCAAGGCCCGCCAGCGTTGGGACGAGGGAGACTTCTTGTTCGACAACTCATCCAGCGACGACGAGGATTTCTTTGCATTGGGCACGCCCGCGCCTACGGACGATAAGAGAGGCGACGGCGACGACAGAGGTGGTGGTGGAGGAGGTGGCGGAGGAGGTGGCGGACGAGGTGGCGGCGGAGGTGGTGGCGGCGGAGGAGGTGGCGGAGGAGGTGGCGGAGGCGACGAGGTGGCGGAGGCGACAACAGAGGTGGCGAAGGAGGTGGCGGAGGAGGTGGCGGAGGCGACGACAGAGGTGCCGGAGGAGGAGGCGGAGGAGGTGGCGGAGGAGGTGGCGGAGGATGTGGCGGAGGAGGTGGCGGAGGCGACGACAGAGGTGCCAGAGGAGGTGTCGAAGGAGGTGGCGGCAACGAGGGAGCTGACGACAAAGGTCACAGAGGAGGTGGCGGCGACGCGGGAGGTGACGACAAAGTTGAGGGGTGTGAGGGTGACTTTCCAGTGCGTGGTCGTGAGTTCTTCTTGAAGCGGTTGAGACACGGTCCCAGGCAGGATAACAGCATCGGCTCTCATGTGCGCAGGCGTCGTCTTGAGACTCTTCACGATGCGACCGCCACGGACGCACGTGTTGCGCAGCACGAGCAGGTTCTCGTGTCTGAGGACTCCCTGGGCGACACATCGGACAAGGACTTCATTCCTCAGACTTCCGGCGTGACGGGCGTTGAGCATCAACCCAGTTTCGTCGAGGGCCCGACCAAGTCTGTAGCGACGATTTCAGTGCAGGAGGAGAGTGGAGCAGGGTTGACTTGTCCGGAGCTTGCGGCGCCCATTGCAGATACTGCGGTCCCATTGCCATCTGACCCAAGCCACGGTCGCGGTTCATGCGGAAGCTCGAGGAGGGGCAGCCAGTGATGGGCAGACAATTCCGGACGGTGAAGGGAATGTGCCACCTCCTTCCACCGTCGTCTGCACAGGCGCCCACGAGGCACCCAGCGTCGCGGTCCCCTCCATAGGCGAGGTAGCACATCCTCCCACGAATGACGTTGGATTGGAGGACGGAGAGGTTGCACATCCTCCCATGGTTGACATTGGTTTGGAGGACGAAGAGGTTGCACGTACTCCTAGTTGTGCCCATGAGAAAGAGGTTGCACGTCCTGCCACGGTCAACCACGTTGGCCTCGCCTCCCCCGCTGACAATCTTCCGCCCACTGCGGAGTTGCTCGCCATGGAGTCGGCGTTGTTTGATCTTCCTGATGTACCGACTTTGATTTCTCCCACTTTGGCATTTGTGGCACCACCAGCGACTGGTCGAGCAAATGACGCGGATGGAGTGCGTAGAGGATTCGACGAGTTCGTCGGCGACACGATATTGCATCCCGCAGTCTCCGCCACTCCCGCCGTTTATCATGTTGGGCCACCGCACGCGGTGGACCAGGGTTTGGCGCAGCAGGTGGCACGGAACCGCCGTGGCGGTGTAGGGGCCGTACCCTTAAGGACTTTCGAGCCTGAGTCGACCCCAGTGCGGGTCCCATTTGGCTCGACCCGCCCACGCTCACGCTCAGGGCGCGGGTCGTTCGTCCCAGGGGCATCCCCACCTAGTGCTTTGAGATGGATGGGGATGGGCCTTTTGCGAGAGGGCTT